CATTCCTGGTGCAGCATGGCACAGCCACGCAGGGGCATGTCCCTCTACATCCCACACACTGCAGGCTTCATCCCATGTCGTGGGGAGAGTGGGCTGCGTTGGTGGAGAGATGCATGGTTAGGGAAGGAGGAAAGGCCTAGAGATTTGGGGAAGGGGAGGATGTGGGGCAGCATGGGCATGGATGGGGCTGAGGCAGGGAGCCAGCAACGTCCCAGAGAGATGCAGGGACAGGTTGCCAGGCTCAGTGGGGTAAGAGCTGATAGGAGGCTGGGAACAGCTGCCTCCCCTAACCCTGCCTTGATCTTTCCTTACAGGAGCAGCCAGGGCTTCATGCATATGAAACTGTCCCGAACCCAAGAGAACAAGTACGTGTTGGGTCAGCACAGCCCGCCGTTTGACAGTGTGCCGGAGATCATTCATCACTATGCCAGCCGCAAGCTGCCCATCAAGGGGGCTGAGCACATGTCCTTGCTGTACCCAGTGGCTATCCGTACCCTATAGTCCTTACCCCGGACGAGCCTGGCTCGACGCCGAGTATACCCAAAGCTGGCCCATCCACAGGGCTGTGCAGGGCTGAGCGCTGTGACGCCAAGGACGGGCTCTGGACCAGCAGCCTGCGAGCGGCTCATTGGGCATGGCCAGCGCTGTCTGGGATTGCTGCAGCCAGACCCCTTGTCCTGCTCTCTCGTGGGGTGGCCGTGCACCGGTTTTTCTTTTAGGCTGACTACGAGGGATTCCCCATGTGAGGAGCTGAGCTGGGCTTGCCACCATGCTCGCTGCCTGCCCGCTGCCCTTGCCTGCCTCCGGGCAGAGCTCAGGAAGCAAGAACTGGAGCTGGGGTCTTGGGAGAGGCCTGAGGTGGGCCAAGGTGGGGGAAACCTCTACCCATGTGCTGCACAAGGGAGCTGAAATACCCATGCCTGCAGCCAAAGAAGCCCGGAGCCATCCCTGGCAGAGGGCAAGGGGAGCTAAGCAGGGCCTGCTGGGGGGGGGCCGGGCAGGCTGGTGGGGCCCCAGTCCACGTGGGTGCTCGGTACTTGCCATCTTCCTTTGCCAAATGTAAATAGTGACCGTCTTGGCCGTGCGTGCAGCACCACTGCCTAATAAAGCAGTGCATAGTTCCCCTGGTTGCCAGCCTCCTGCTTCACAGAGCCCTAATCCCTCTGTTGTGCTCGCCTCTCCCTTCTGTGTGGACAGCCTGCCCTGAGCCAGGCAGTGGGATCAGGGGCTGGCTGCTGCCTGGGCTCCTGCTGTAGGAAACACTTGTAGCAAAATTCAGTGCAAGATGGTGGGGAAAAATCTCTGAGCAAGTTGATTTTTATTCATTCCCACATACCAGCATGCCCAAGCAGTCTGGCCAGGTCACTTGTATGTGACCCAGGGGACAAGGGACGCCAGCTGTTAAGTCCTTCCTATGTCTCTGGGGTTCTTGACTGGTGGCAATGAACTGATTTTGGACTTGCCTTTTATGCCCTGCAGGAGGGGGTGCTCTTTGGGATCTTTTGCCTCTTTATTTTGCTACCTCTCTCATAAGTCTTAGGCAAAATCCCTGAATTTCACGGTTCTGTTCTCCTTCTCTGGGTATTTAGTGGCTCCAATCCTGTTCTTCATCTTCCTAAGACCTTGTCTTTTGGTCAGTTTGTTCCTCCTCTTCATTTGAATGAAGTTACATCTGGTGCTGTGTAGCAGTTAATGCATACCTTGCCTTTTAACCTTTGTTCTTTCTGAATGCTTTCTACCATGCCCATGCATGTGCATTCCCATCCATAGTTCAAGCTAAGCTTAAACTCTCTGTTATTAATGTCCAGTGCATTTCCTTTACCCTCATTTTCCTGGGGCCCCATCCTGCCAGGCACAGAAGAGGGGATGGCAGGGACAGATTCACTGTTAGCCAGCAAAACCTGAGCATCACAGAGCACAGCACTTGGAGAGCTTGTAGCCCTGTGTCCATCCTCTTTGTCTATCTTGCAGTGGGCACCCTGGCCCAGCAGACGCCCTCAGCGGTGTTGAGCAGGCCCAGTGGGTTGTTGAGGGCTGTATTAAAAATTGCCATCATCCCCACTGCCCGCTCCTGGGAAAAAGGCAGTCTTGGAGCTTTGTTGAAGAGAAGGAGATGATGCTCTATGGGAACACAGGGACCTTGAGTGTGGTCTGTCCTGCTGCTGCAGTGGAGACCTAGCTCTACCCATCTGTAGTGCGGAGATTTCCAGGCTCTCAAATTTTAGCCAGGGCTTTGCCATCCCAGCTGGTGATTGTGGCTTTCGAGCTGTCATGGGAACCACTGGGTGTGACCAGCAAGCTCCCAAATGGCAGCCACATTTTGGAGCCCAACTGTGACGTTTCATTCCTGGATGCCTCAGCCTTCGTCGCTCGCTCCTTAAAAGGCAGCGGTTTTTGCTCCTCGGGTGCTTGGTGTCGCCTTACAGCTGTGCTTGCCTAGTGGCAGCTCCATCTCCTGCACTGCCTCTCTCCAGCCCTGCTGGCCTCCCAGGGAGGCACCTTGTCTGTCAGGGATGGACCAACTCTGGCCAGAGGGTTTTTCTTCCTTCATTGCATCTGTGAGGAGGATGGGCGAATGCCAGAGCCCACAGAAAGGGCTGGAGATATCCTTTCAGAGATATTCTTAGATGCCCTTGATCCATTTAAAAGGCTTAAAAGGGCCCTTAGCAGCCCTGCAGCCAGCACAATCGCTTTGAAGCCAGGTTTTGTATGCAAGTGCTTAAATTAAACAGCTTTCATAATTCTCCCTATGCAGCAAAGTGTGCAGCTCTCTGCAGAGACCACAGTGAGTGCACGCTTTTGTATAGCAGCTGGCAGTGGGGCTGCTGGCTGAAGTACTTGTTCTGACTCCTACAATGAGGGCAGCAGATCCCTGCAGCTCTCCCAGTTTGTATCCAAACAGCAGCTGCTTGAGGTTGTAAATACCTGACCAGCTTCTAGGTGAAACAGCAGCTGGCTTGGTTATTTTGTGGAGTTACTTTAAAAAGGGCCAAGGTGTGAGTCAGCTGGTGTTTGATGGGAACTCACCCCACCAGCAACTGCATGGTGCCCATCAGCCCTGGTCCCCCCCAGCCATTTGAATTCATGTTCAGGATGAATCTCTCCCCACCTTGCTATGTTAATTTTTAAACAAGGAATTTTTTCCTTATGTCCGACTGGAATTCCCCTCCTGCAACTTGTGCCATTGCCTCTTGTCTTTTCTTTCACTGGGCACCTCTGAGAAGTAACTGGCTCTGTATTCCCCATGACCCCACTGCAGGTAGCTGGAAATAGCAATTACATCCCTCGTCAGCCCTCTCATCTCCAGGCTAAACAAGCCCAACTCCTTCAGCATCTTGTATATCAGGTTTTCCAGCTCCGTCCATCCTAGTGACCCTCCGCAGGACTGTCTCCTTGTACTAAGGGAATCAAAACTGGACAGAGTGCCCAGATGTGGCCTCACTAGTGCCAAGTACAGGGGAACAACCACTTCCCTTGGCCTGCTGGCTGAACTCAGGGGTCAGCCATGAGGTCAGATCAGGGCCAGGAAAAGCTTTTTGGAGAGAAGCAGATTTGTCCTAGGCCCAGTTAGACTTTTTGCCTTCTTCATAGCCCCAGGAAGGGCTGGACCCCAGGCATAAAGAGGGTTGCAAATTACCTGCAACTTGAGGGCAATAGGAAGCCCAACAGGCTGCACCTCATGCAGAGGAGGAGGCCCTGCCCTACAATAAAGAAGTGGGAGCAGGGAGCAGGATGCAGAGCCATAGTGAAGAATCGGCCCACAGCTTCATGTGGAGTCAGGGGATGGACCTGAGCTTCTCAAATGGGGCAGATCCTGTAGAGCTGGTGTCTCAATTTGGGATCCCCATAGAAAGTACATTGTACTGGGCTCTGGGTCTGGTCAGTGTGTTATACCCTCTGTTTGTGGTCAGAGCTGATCTTCATGAGCGCCCCAGAAAGTTTAGACAGATTTAATCTGTCTTCCATGGGTACTTTAGTGCGCCCTCTGCCATCCTGTAACTGAAATGAGAGTGGTTTGGAAATGAGAGTTGGGCAAGCCATGTGACAGGGCTAGAGAGGTGATGGGTGATCCCCATCCATGAGGATCCTTACCCCTGGGTGGACAAGGCCTGGAGCAACCTGATGTGGCATTGAAGTTAACCTGTTCTGGGCACAAAGGTGGACTAGACACCTTTGTCTGTAGCAATTTCCAGCCAGCTTGACATCCCTGCAACCTCCTGTGGCCTCCCAGCTGCCTCTATTCTCTGTCCCTCCTCCCTGCAAGTGAAACAGCTCTGCCATTCATGGCCTGCCCTCTAGTCCCTTGCTAAGCCCTCTATAATCACCAAGCTGTTTTAGCATGCTGCAGGCCTCAGTAATGAAGGAAGGAAGTTTGTTTCATAATTGGATTAGCGCTGCTGGGAGCATGCACTTGCACGGTAGTCAGGTCTGAGCTGGCGCCGTCCCAGAGCCTCGTGCTGCTCCGTTGGTTGTGGTCCAGCCAGAGGGCTTGGGGCCATGCTCTGCGCAGGCTCCTGGCCACTCTCACGCCTGCACAGGACTTTGCTGGCTGGAAAACATACTCTTGCGGGAGAAAGCCAGCCAAGAGGGATGAAAAGCTGATCCAGGGCAGAATTTCAGCCTGCCCTCCTTGGAAGCGGGAGCGTGTTTCTCAAACTCCTTCACAGTCCCTGGTGCCTCTTACCTGATGGATTTGGTTAGCATCAAGCCCATCTGTCTCATCACCCCAGCCTGAGCCATCTGGGCTCCTGAGTCCCACCACAATGGTGCTTAGGCTTGCAGTCCTGGGCTATCTATGCTAGGGATGCCCTTGGAGGTAGCACCAGCCTTTCCCAGAGCACACTCTTTTTCCAGTACCTCCTTGCTTTAACACTTTAGGACCCAATTTCTCCCCATCAGCTTGCTCTTCACAGGAGCATTGGGATGCTCACACCGGATACAAGACGCAAACATCTCAGATACTGGAGAGCATCACCAGTAACTTTGATCCATGCAGGATGGGGTAAAATGCTCAGATGAGTGTAGGATGTGGTCCATCGTCCATGGTCCCTCCCTGACGGTCTGGCCCAGAGGAAAAGTCACCTTCAGCCCAAATCTCGTGGTTAGTTTAACCTCAGACCTACCAATGATGCTTAAGACACTTGAATATAACTGAAAACACAGCACCCTGTCTCCAACTGCACTAATCTCCAGTGCTGCAGGAGAAGGATCAAATACCCTAACAACTCAGCTGCCAAAATTTATAGCAAAGGAGAGACATTTGTTCCTGATCCCTGCAGGCTACCAGCAAAACATGCAGTGTAGCACATACATAGCACACACATGCATATGGCGCACATATGGCCCGGCTAAGTGCCGCCTTTCAAACCCTCTTGTAGAGACCAACATATTTGACACAAGGGCAAGTTTCAACTCCTAACTCAAAGACCACTCTTGTTCAGCCTCTTCAATACACTTTCCTAGCATCACCTCAAAACAGTTACTTGCTTCTGGTACTCTGTTTGAAAGCTGCCCTGAAACATCTCTGCTTGGATGCCTCTATGCAATTTTCAGTCTATATTTGTCATCAGTTCTGTCCTTTTCCTTGTACAATTTTGGATGGATGTCTCCAAAATGGCATGCTCAGGAAGCTCTTCCAGGTGAAGATCTTCCCTTGCTACTGATGCAGCTGTGTCCCTCCTGAAAATGCATCCCAGCCATGATGACTCCACATCTCGGTCTCAGCCCTGAACCATTTGTTATTAATATGAGTGGGATCATCTCAAGACTGGGGATGGAGAAACAGCGCTAGTAACATCTCTTCACCCAGAGACATCCCCTTTTAATACAACTCATTGTTAACCAGATTTACCGTTTCCTCCTCCACTTTACATGGTATCCATCCCCATCACTTTCATCACTGGAAACTGGTTCATATTGGCTAGCAAATCAAACCCTTCCTTAAATCTAAACAGCCTAAATGTGCTGTATCACCATGTCTGAGTTAATTATTGAAGAAAAATTATTACATTAAACTGACACAATGCATCTCTGATAAATCCTGTTTCCATTTGCTTTCCTCTCTTTAAGTACTGTTTCCTTCAAAACCTGGTCATAGCCTTAGAAAGATATTAAACCCTATA